TATAAACTCAGAGAGAAGAGACCATTCTCACTAGAGAGGAAAGAGGACAGGACCAAAAAATACCTGAAGGAGGTGGCGGAGCAGGCAATGAAGTATAGTCTGAGCTTGAGGTGTAGGTTCAAAACATGGAAATTCTGCACTTGCCGAAAATGACATTCTTTGAGAAACTCCAACAACGACACCCACGTTTGGTAAAAGTCCCAGGGGATACACCTCGCGATCAAATTCCAACTCTGGATCCAACTAAAGGATGCAACATAAAAACGCATTGAGTTGATAGATCAGTGAAAAAAGTAAAAACTATAAAAGGGGGGATGTGTTTGAATGTAAATGTCATGAAACAATGATTGTTGGGACAGAAAGACATGCTTCTGGCAGATATGCTATTGATAGTGAAAATTGGACTCTAGTAGCATGCATACCTGCAAGAAATCCTCTTGCCTAAAAGGATCATCCCCTAGAGAAGGATACCAAACCTGTAATAGAAAATCTCAGCGTGAAACAAAATCAAGAAAGTACAAAGACAGGGATCAAAACCAGTCAGACACTTCTGGCGCACGCCTAGAAAAGGTTAAAAAGAAGAAAAATGGTCAGAAGAATTACCTGCATTCCTCGATGCCCATAATCTAGCCAAGAAACTTCCTCGATGAGATTTGTCTTTTCCTCTGATTGACCACATGTTACCCAAAATAGTTCAACTGAGTCCGTAAGCTCCCTCTCTCGTCCATCAACCAAATCAAGAAGTGAAAGCTCCCCATTTTTCCGCAGTATAAGACATCTATGGAGATCACACAGGCATTTAGAATGACAGCATAAACTGAAACGGATGTTCTACTCTATCGATGATTACCTTGAGGGTTCTCTGTCTGACAGATCAGAAGACATATTATCATTATCCAAGTCACGTTCTCTCGGGTGCTGGTCAGGAACAAATTGCATTGCTGCTGGATGGCTCTTTGCAGTCATGATGGACAACTCTCTTACTGTGGAAAGCTGTTTGTCATTTTATCACTTTAAGGTGCATGAAAAGCAACTCAAGCACTTGCATGGAAGTTAAAAAAGTACTTTTGTGCACGTCTACTGGAGGTACAAGAAATGAACCGAAATAACTAACTACCTGTAGATATGGTGTGCCTGAACGTATCAATTCACCATATATCTTCACATGGTATACGTGGATGATAAACGGAAGATAAGATACGAGTATATAATCCTGGTAAACATCCATCACCATTGGTTTGCCAAGTAGCACTTTACGACAAAGTAAAGCGCTCTTATCAAGGTGATATCTTGGATAGAAAAGCAGTTCATATCTGCAATAATTAACAACATACACGTGAAATGGAACAACAATCAAAAGACAAGATGCCCAGAAATACTAACCACAATAATGCTATGTAAAAAAAAGTCTGGAAGAACACATTTCTACTAAAAGACACTTCCTCTCCTTTGTAAAACTTAATAAACAGAGCCAGTGAATCCTAATCACTAAACTAGTAATATAGATTGGGCCTTACGTCTCAGAAGTTTCGATGTAGTTACAGATTACGACAATTTTCCCCAACCATAACAAACCCTTGCAATGAATCTGTTGTTCTTCACTGGCATTTCCAAATACTCTCCATTTCTTAGATCTAACGTCATACAAAATCACACCATGTAAACCAGCAGCCGCCAAGTATTGCCCATCCTCGCTGGCTGCCACGTGTTGAACAGGCCAATTTGGGGTGATGTAAAAACCCTGGAACAAAAAATAACATAACCAATTTATTTCAAGAAATGATAGGGGGAAGGAGCAAAAGGGGATAATGGACTTTGTGATACTCAACTGGAAGTTTTAGATGTAAAAGCTTAAGCTCGTCAGTGTCCTCTGCCTGAACAATGAGTAGTCTATCCTCACCATACATTACCTGACGAACATAAGTTTTTCCTGAAACTCCTCTGTTCAAACAACATTTTACAAAAGAAAATGCAAGAATTCTATCACAAGATGCCTCCTCTGTAGCAAATAGTCTATATCCATATACGTCCCACTGGATGGCTGAAGTACCATTCATCAGCGGTTCGTATTTACAATCTTGGTTTGGGTTAATTTTAGGGGAAGATATAGAACTCAGTCCAATTTGGCGGACAGTTGACATCAATCTACATCCAGAAACAGACCAAACTGCAAGTCCTCTCAACTTCCACCCAACTGCAAAAGCAGAATTATCAGGCGTCCAGGCAATGTTATTGACAGGCCCCGTGTAATCCGCTGAATAACTGCAAGTTTCAAAACACTGTTATCAATCATAAACCTAAATTATCAAGGGCATGAAAGAAACATAAGTAAAACTGAAAATCTTGAAAAGATATGCTTAGGTGTACTGGGATCAAGCATTTTACATAAGTACAAGAATTACCGAAGGCATCTAAGTTTCCAGTAGTAGTAAAATATTATTGTCTTTACACAACACCGGAATTAAAACTATTCAGATGAATAGGAATACCCAAACCTTCCAAAACTAATATTGAAAGAAACATATCCGTCAAAACATAATAGTATATACCCCTAGTAACTAGTTACTTACCCCCAGTCATGTAAAGAAACTGTACGTAAGTGACAGATCGATTGTGAGAAATCATATAATTCCACCATCCCTTTTCTTGTACCCACAGCAATAATTTCTTGCTCTGAAGCCACTGATGCACAAACAGCATCAACACCCAACTTCTTCTCAACTTTAATGCTCTCAGTGTACTTTAAACCTTTCTTATTCACAGAGCATACCACTAGCTGCCCATCAGAATTTAACACAAACAATAACTTTGAACGAGTGCAGAGTTCCAGCTGAACAATAGCCGATTTTGTTGAGATTTTATCATCAGATGCAAGTGTTGCTGAAGCTACTCCCGAAACTAGCCCATTACCTAGAGTGTAAGACAAAAGTCTATCGTTGCTATCAGAAGGATGGGAACCAATACTGAAAGCTCCACCAAACTACAAAGACAAACAAAATTTTAGAAATCAGGAGTCTGACACTTAAAAAAAAAAAAAATCCAGAAAAGCTGCAATGACTAAAGAAAGATCTAACATTACCTCTCCTTTCCAGGAAATACTATATAAACATCCATCAGAGAGTCCCAAAAGCATAGTTTTGCTATCCCTCACAAAATTGCTCCTGCACAGAGTGAAAGAATCCGCCTTACATTTCTAATCCTAAAACGTTACTGTGTCGACTCATAGGGTTAAATGTTGGGCTCGGCAGAGACACGTACAGAAAAAACACTTACACAGACAAGTCCTTCCCAGCAAAAGGGACCTGCTCACTTAGCAAAAGAGATACAGTTGCAAAACACAACTCCGAGGGTATCTCTCCAATTTTTATTCCTTTATCCATAAACTTGATTTTATATATATGAAGGAAGAATGATGCTGTCTGCAAATTGAATCGAAACCAAAAAACAAAAATGGTGAATACACACACAAAAACAGACACTTTCCTTCAGTGTGACATCAAAAACAGGCAAGTGTTGAGTTTACATGCCTCTTGATCAAATGATTCAAACAAGATACTACTACAGAAATGAGAGATACTTAAAAATGTCTGTTATCATCAAGCTTTCAAAATTAGAAAGAGGGTAATTTTCCCTCATCATTACACATAAGAAATATGTAATCTTTATCCCAAATCGATAAATTCTCAGCTGGAGAAGGATTGAAAGACTAACCAAGCAACGAGTGACACTAAGAACTTACAAGAACAGCGATCAATTTGGAGTCTGGACTCCACACAGCTTGCAAATTCTCTCCTTCTTCTCGCACAGACTTCGCATCTCTCATGTACTTTCCCAACCTCACTCGCAGCTATTCCAGAAAAAAAATCAAAACAAAAGCTAATTAGCTAGCGATAACTAGACCCTGATTACAAAATCACAGTGAGGAAATGCAGAGATTGATTAAGCAAACCTGAGAAGAACCCCAAAGCTCTAAATGAGACGGAGAAACAACCAGCAATAGCTTTCCGGCGAGCTTAAGGTACACGATTCGCTGTGAAGTCGGATACGATCCTGCTTCTAACGGGATCACCTGTGGCCATCCGTAAGCCATATACATCTTTAGCTTCTCTTCTCTTCTCCTCAATGGAAACTCTAATTCTAGGCAGTATCTCTCACTCTCTCTCTACAATGGATCCGATTACGAGGAGAAGGAATTTAGAGGTTTCGTTCATAGACAGAGATCATAGAAACATTTGTTGGGAAAATGAGAATCGCACGACGAGAGGAAGAAGATGGATCTCACAGATCCATAAACGGAGCATGAAAATTGGCAGTGCTGACAAAAAAAAAAAATTAGACCGACCGGTTAGATGGATTGGATTTTAATTTTACGGATCTAATCGGTTAAACTTCTGCCCATGCAAACCGGATTTGTACGGATAATGGTAATGGGCCTTCTAAAACGGCCCATGTTATCATCACCATTTTATGGCTTTTATCTAAAACCATATCATACACAAGTTACTTTGTGTTAAAGGATTCAACCCGTTTTACTTTTTCTTTATGAATATCGTCATTATGTTCGTAAACAATCGCTTCATGAACATACGAGTACTGAAGAACTCTAGATTACAAAGATGCACACGATTTGGTAATCATAACAGCTTCTCAATGTCTTTCCAGTTCGGTAAATCTTGACATTGCTTTTCTTCTTCTATAATTTGATTAGATATCTTCATAATGAATTTGGTTATATCCGTAGTTTTTTATTTGTAACTAGCAGTGGTTATAAACTGTGTTTCATTCTCATTAAATAAATTTGGAGAGATTGAAACTCTCTTAGACTCCACCCAAATGGAAATGAAAAAGCAAAGTTATAAGCATTTAGTCAGGAAAAGATCGAGTTACGGCGAACCCTAATTTGCATTCGACCACAATTTATATAAATACATAATAGCTTTAAGTTCCGAAACGATATTTGTACAAACATGATCCACACAAACGCATTCTCCTCCCAAAATCCTCCCCTTTTTTGTCTTCTCACTTTGGTGTCAAAGCCTGTACCAAAACACAAAAGCTAGTCAAAGATCCCGAATTCCCACGGTTTATCGAACAAAAGAAAACTAATGAGTTAAAAAAGTCAAGTAACCAAATTTTGATTAGGCTCCAACTTACAGCGAAGATAGTGGCGTGACCAGGATCAGCAAGATGTGCAAAAAGATTATCAATAGGACCAGTTCCAGTGTAGATATGTTGGAACCAAGCACCCATCACAGCCAACATAGCCAACCTTCCATTCTTGATCTCTTTGGTCCTCAGTTCCTTGATCTTAGCCGGGCTACCGGATCCCCAACCCAACGGGTCGAACCATAACCCACCCGGGTATCCAACATCCGTACCCGTGAGCTTGTTGTTTGGGAAGACCGGGTCAGTGTTGACACTACCTGGTTTGATGATATCAGCCCATCTACGTCCTTCAGCCCATCCGATCAAGATGAGCTCAACGACAAAGAGTGTGGTTTTGTCCGTGAAGTACTCTTGTTCTCCGGCCGTGTACCACGACGGAGTGTTGAGGATTCCGATCTTTGTTAGGAACTCCGGGATGAATATCCCGGCGGCTCCTAGCATTGCCCACCGGCAGTGAACTATCTKTGCTTGTACGTTCCATTTTAGACTGTCCGGATCAGATGCTGATATGTGTGTCCGGTTCGTTAGGAGATTATTAAATTAGTCTTAGGTTTTTCTTTTATAAATTAGGGTTAAAAGGGAGAGAGAAAAAAATAAAACTTACAAAGACCAAGAGGATCAAATCCGAAGTCACCAGGGAGGCTACCGTCGAGCCACTCTGGAGGAGCTTTTCCGGGGAACCAGACTGGTCTCTCGGGATCCGCTGCAACGGCCCGCACCGAGGCAGCCGATTTGGAGACAGTTGGAACACTCAACTTCTTCCTCAGCCTCAGTTTCTTCCCACCCAAGAAACTGCACATATATATCCATACAATATAAATAAACCTAAAAATTTAGTCACGACCTCAACAACACC